GGGCCTCTCACCGGCGTGGCCTCTCCCACTGCGGAGCATAGGCTCCGGACGCGCAGGCTCAGCGGCCATGGCTCACGGGCCCAGCCGCTCCACGGCATGTGGGATCCTCCCGGACCAGGGCATAAACCCGCGTCCCCTGCATCGGCAGGCGGACTCTCAACCACCGCGCCACCAGGGAAGCCTCAGGATTGATATCTTAAGATAAAAATCAGCATCCACAAAAACCTTGACAACATAAATGATAGGCTGTTTGAATAAAAAGAATTGAAAAGGGATAATGTAAAGCTTTGGACATAACTCTAAATAAACAAATAAGAAATTAATACTGAGGGCTTCCCTGGTGGCGCAGTGGTTGAGAGTCCGCCTGCCGATGCAGGGGATATGGGTTCGTGCCCCGGTCCGGGAAGATCCCACATGCCACGGAGCGGCTGCGCCCGTGAGCCATGGCCGCTGAGCCTGCGCGTCCAGAGCCTGTGCTCCGCAATGGGAGAGGCCACGCCGGTGAGAGGCCCGCATACCGAAAAAAAAAAAAAAAATTAATGCTGAGGTCCTGAGCAAGGGAGATATGTCTTAGGGACATACAAATGAAAAATAGTTTAGGGGCCTAAACTGTCAGTAAGTTCAAAAGGATTCAGCAAAAACTATTGTCACCAAAAAGGCTAATGCAATCTTAGTGTAATAAACCTGCACTTTTAGTCACTGATTAGGCTATATATGGTATTTTGTGTTTGCTTCTGTGTATCACATTTAAAAAAGTATAAGAATGTATTATACCAGTCTCTCAAGAATATTAGAGTATAATATAAAAATACTCCAAAAACAAGTGAAATAACCCATCACCCCACCATACTTAGGTTATTTTCAATTTCCTTGTAGCCACGTTTTTTAGAAAGTAAGAAAAGAAGTAGGAAGAAATAGGTGAAGTTAATTTTAATGATGTATTTTATTTAGCACGGTATATCAAGAATGTTATTCCAACATGTCATCAGTATAAGTAATTAATGAGGTATAATTCCTTTTTTTTGTATTAAGTTTTCAAAATCCAGTGTGTTTTTTACTCTCAGAGCACATCTCAGTTCAGAGTAGCCACGTTTCAAGTGCTCAATAGCCACATGTAGCTAGTGGCACAGGTAAGCACAGACAGACCCGTGAGATAAAAATAAACTAATTGTTCAGGTAGTGCACAATTATTCTTGTAACTAAGACCAGTAAGAAATTGTTCTTATAAAAAAAAGATGATCTATGTGTGATGTAATGACTCCATCATTGTCAGCTTCCATGTAGTTAATAGTCTTATGAGGCAGTCTTAATGAGGCTGTTCGTTAATAATGACACCTAATGTTAATAATATTCCAGCAAAACACAGTTCAGTTAAAAAAAGGAAGGAAGGGAAAGGAAAGAAAGGGAAGGAAGGAAAGGGAAAGAAAGAAAGAAAGAAAAGGAAAGAAAAGGAAAAGGAAACCAAAGAAAGAAGAAACAAAAACGTAAAGAACATAGGATGATATGGCCCAACTTTGTGCTGATCTGGCTTAAATCCAGGTTAGATGGGAACCTAGGGCTTTTAGAGTTGCAAACTCCAGTGCCTCCAAGGATCAGGCAGAAAACAAGAAACGTTTGAAGTTGCCTGTTTTGGAGTGGGGACTTGTGCAAATTGTGACTAACTGGAGTAAGCGTATCCTATCTGAAGACTTAAAGTCAAAATTTAAAAGGTATTGCTGGCCAAATAAAACTTGGCCTACTGGCTGCTGGCTTGTAGCTCTTGATTTAGGTACTAGGTTAAAAACCTATGATGGATATTATTTAAAAACTCCTCCCCAGAAAAATACATTTGTACACAGTGTTTTATATATAGTTTTAGGGAATTAAGGGCTCAGCTAACAGTTCCTGATGTAGCGTGGAATTGCTTTTCCAGTGTCCGGAATGGATATTTCGCCCTTCATGTTTTATTTTGGGGTTATAACCTATTCTGCTTTTTCTCTTCTCCCTTGCGATAGACGGAAGGGGTTACAAAGCGTTTGGCAGAAAAGAATGACTTTGTGATCTTCCTGTTTACACTGATGACGAGTAAGAAGACATTCTTACAGACAGCAACCCTCATTGAAGATATTTTGGGTGTTAAAAAGGTGAGCTGTATCCTCTGGCAGGTGAATGACCAGGTGGAGGAGAGTGCCTCAGTTGGATTCTCTAACGTGAATAATGTAAAGAACTCTTTTAAAGAAAAACTCTGCCATACTCCTAGTGTTAAAATTATTTTTCTGTGTTACTCAAGTATATTCACTAGGTTATGCTACTTATACTAATAGGTCTTAAATGATTATAAAACCTAAACAAATAGATTGAAATCAAACTAATTATAAAACTCAAAAGCTCAGATTGACTTTGTGAATTTAATGTGTTAGCTAATGTTACTTTGCTGAAATCAAATTGTCCCTCAGTTGTTTCGGTGCAGGATCTTTTTAGCATAGCTCTAGTGCTGTATGCTGTATAATAACTCCATTCTCCTACCACTTTTCTATATTTGAACTGTTGTGAAGCTTTCTTGTGATGATGTTTGACTTTCACTTATTACGTTCACCTCTATTTTTTCTCATGAGTTTTCAACAGTTAAAGTTTAATTGACACCAACATAGGAAATAACAAATACGAGCACTGAAATCCTGCCAGTTGGTCATAAGATGGACATTCAAATGATCCAGAATATGCTTTAAAAAAAAAAAAAAAAGAACTATGATTGAAGTGAAAGCACTAAATTAAATATTTGTCATCGAGTATTCACAGACCGCGCCCCCCCCCCCCCCCCCGGTCAAAAAGGCCATCTGAAAAAAGTCCCCCCCCCCCCCCAAACATCTATAGGCATGTTAGAGAATCACTATATTAGATTTTTGGTGTAATGCTTGTTAGGACCTGGCTTACTTCCCCAAGTCCTTGTCCCATGCCTCCACGTCGGTTGCAGGTTTGCAGATTTCTTCCTTGTACTACGGAGGAGGTAGGAGCAGCCTCTTAGATTTTCTGTTGTGGTGAAAAGAGTACCCATGTGCATTGTGGTGACCCCAGCTTTCATTTCTGTGTTTCTACTGCACTTTCCCCAGGCTCTGCTTGTTATTGCCCAGGCAGAAGATGCACAAGTGACCCATTGTCTGTAGGAATACATTGGAGATGTGTGCAGGTCCCAGACGGACCCTTTGTGCCCTTTGATGAAAAGGCTTTGTTATTTTTCCAATAATTGTATGCACCAGTATGTGAGAAGGGGCTTCCAGGGCGGAAACTCCAGACTCCCTGGCAGTCTTAGCATAAGACTCTAGGGTTCCTCCTTCATAACTTTTCCTGCTTGTCCCTCATGCCCTCTTCCTCCCTCTCATACCTTTCTGTGTTGCCTTTTAAAAATAGTGATGAGTTCTGCTAGACATTACGGGTACCTTAGTGCAGTTTGAAAGGGGAATAGACACCATAAGAAAGTGGGAACACAAGCCACAAACTGGGAAAAGATATTTGCAACCCATGCAACTAACAAAAGATTGGTATTCAGAATTTATGATGGGTAATTCTCTGGTGTTCCAGTGGTTGAGACTCTGGGCTTCCACGGCAGGGAGCATGGGTTCGATGCTTGGTCAGGGAACTAAGATCCCGCATGTAGTGTGGCACGGCCGACAAACAAACAAAAACAACAACCACAATAACCCCCAAAACAACAACAGAACTTATCATGAATTCTTGTGAATCAGCAAGGAAACGACAAATGGCCCAGTAGAAAAATGGGCAATGATAGGAGCAAGCGTTTTACAGAGGAGAAACAAATGATCCATAAAAAGAAGATGCTTAACTTCACTGATAATCTGGAAAATGCAAATAAGACCACAGTGAGAGAGCTCGAGAATGTGTATCACTGGAAACACTTACATTACTGCTGATACCTTTTTATATCAGCAGAATATATCTATTTTGTTTTCTAGTTGAACGTGGGCATACCGTGTGACCCAGCACCTAAGGAAGCACTGACCTGAGGGCCGAGGCATCAGTATTGTGGCCTGGGTAACCTGTAACCTATGCCCAGGCACACTCGTGGGGAAGCTCAATTCCAGAACAGTGATTCTTAGAAATAAAAACACTAAATTGAAGCCAGGAGGGTGTGAAATGAATTCAGTGGATCTACCAGCTAAATAGAAAAGATCAGAATGTATTGTGTAAGGGTATTGTTTAAGTTTTTGTTTCATATTTATACACATACATTCACCTGTGTATATTTACTGTGTTGTGATGGAAACCTTACTTTTTATTCTTGGACATTGTCAGAATGGTTTGGAAGCCACTGCCTCAGAAAAACACATAAGAAAGGTTATAGCATTATTGGTTAAGGCAAAAAACTGAAACCAGGTCTCTGATCCATCAACAGGAAAATGGATAAATGTCCTCTATTCACACAATGGGATATTATACAATGACTGTTGCTATAGGCAACAACATAGCTAAGTCATAGAAATTATTTTTTATTTTTTTATTTTTTGTGGTACGCAGGCTTCTCACTGTTGTGGCCTCTCCCGTTGCGGAGCACAGGCTCTGGACGCGCAGGCTCAGCAGCCATGACTCACGGGTGCAGCTGCTCCGCGGCATGTGGGATCTTCCCGGACCGGGGCACGGACCCGTGTCCCCTGCATCAGCAGGCGGACTCTCAACCACTGCGCCACCAGGGAAGCCCCATAGAAATTATTGATAGAAGTCAGTTGCAGAAGATTGTATATAGTATATCTTTTTTTAAAATAGATCTTTATTGGAGTATAATTGCTTCATAATACTGTGTTAGTTTCTGCTGTACACCAAAGTGAATCAGCCGTATACATACATATGTCCCCATATCCCCTCCCTCTTGCGTCTCCCTCCCATCCTCCCTATCCCACCCTCTAGGTCATCGCAAAGCACCAAGCTGATCTCCCTGTGCTATGCTGCTGCTTCCCACTAGCTAATTACTTTACATTCGGTAGTGTATATATGTCGATGCTACTCTCACTTTGCCCCAGCTTCCCCCTCCCACCCCATGTCCTCAAGTCCATTCTCTATGCCTACATCTTTATTCCTGCCCTGCAACTACGTTCATCAGTACCTTTTTTTTTTTTAAAGATTCGTTAGCATACGATATTTGTTTTTCTCTTTCTAACTTACTTCACTCTATATGACAGACTCTAGGTCCATCCACCCCACTACAAATAACTCAATTTTGTTTCCTTTTATGGATGAGTAATATTCAGTTGTATATATGTGCCACATCTTCTTTATCCATTCATCTGTCGATGGACATTTAGCTTGGTTCCATGTCTTGGCTATTGTAAATAGTGCTGCAGTGAACATTGTGGTACGTGTCTCTTTTTGAATTATGGTTTTCTCAGGGTATATACCCAGTAGTGGGATTGCTGGGTCATATGGTAGTTCTATTTTTAGTTTTTTAAGGAACCTCCATACTGTTTTCCATAGTGGTTGTATCAATTTACATTCCCACCAGTAGTGCAGGAGGGTTCCCTTTTCACCACACCCTTTCCAGCATTTATTGTTTCTAGATTTTTTGATAATGACCATTCTGTCTGGCATGAGATGATACCTCACTGTAGTTTTGATTTGCATTTCTCTAATAATTAGTGATGTTGAGCATCTTTTCATGTGCCTTTTGGCCATCTATATGTCTTCCTTGGTGAAATGTCTATTTAGGTCTTCCACCCATTTTTTAATTCTGCCCATTTTTTAATAATTTAAAATTGCAAATATTTTCTCCCATTCTGAGGGTTGTCTTTTTGTCTTGTTTATGGTTTCCTTTTCTGTGCAAAAGCTTTTAAGTTTAATTAAGTCCCATTTGTTTATTTTTGTTTTTATTCCCATTACTCTAGGAGGTGGGTCAAAAAAGATCTTGCTGTGGTTTATGTCAAAGAGTGTTTTTCCTATGTTTTCCTCAAAGAGTTTTATAGTGTCTGGTCTTACATTTAAGTCTTTAATCCATTTGGAGTTTATTTTTGTATATGGTGTTAGGGAGTGTTTGAATTTCTTTCTTTTACATGTAGTGGTCCAGTTTTCCCAGCACCATTTATTGAAGGGGCTGTCTTTTCTCCATTGTTTGTTCTTGCTTCCTTGGTCGTAAATTAGGTGACCATAGGTGTGTGGGTTTATCTCTGGGCATTCTATCCTGTACCATTGATCTGTATTTCTGTTTCTGTGCCAGTACCATACTGTCTTGATTACTGTAGCTTTGTGGCATAGTTTGAAGTCAGGGCCCCTGATTCCTCCAACTCTGTTTTTCTTTCTCAAGAATGCTTTGGCTATTTGGGGTCTCTTGTTTTTCCATATGAATTGTAAAATTTTTTGTTCTAATCCTGTGAAGAATGCCATTGGTAGTTTGATAGGGATTGCATTGAATCTGTAGATTGCTTTGGGTAGTATAGTCATTTTCACAGTATTGATTCTTCCAATCCAAGAACAGTAGTATATTTCTCCATCTGTTTATGTCATCTTTGATTTCTTTCATCAGTGTTTTATAGTTTTCTGAGTACAAGTCTTTCTCCTCCTTAGGAAGGTTTATTCCTAGGCATTTTATTCTTTTTATTGCAATGGTAAATGGGAGTGTTTCCTTAATTTCTCTTTCTGATTTTTCATTGTTGGTGTCTAGGAATGCTGGAGATTTCTGTGCATTAATTTTGTATCCTTCAGCCTTGCCAGATTCATTGATTAGTTCTAGTAGTTTTCTGGTGGTATCTTTAGGATTTTCTGTGGATAGTGTCATGTCATCTGCAAACAGTGACAGCTTTACTTCTTTTCCAATTTGTATTCCTTTTATTTCTTTTTCTTCTCTGATTGCCATGGCTAGGACTTCCAAAACTATGTTGAATAATAGTGGTGAGAGTGGACATCCTTGTCTTGTTCCTGATCTTAGTGGAAATGCTTTCAGTTTTTCACCATTGAGTATGATGCTTGCTGTGGGTTTGTCATATATGGCTTTTATTATGTTGAGGTAGGTTCCCTCTATGCCCATTTCCTGGAGAGTTTTTATCATAAATGGGTGTTGAATTTTGTCAAAAACTTTTTCTGCATCTATTGAGTTGATCATATGGTTTTTATTCTTCAATTTGTTAATATGGTGTATCACATTGATTGATTTGCGTGTGTTAAAGAATCCTTGCATCCCTGGGATAAATCCCACTTGATCATGGTGTATGATCCTTTTAATGTGCTGTTGGATTCTGTTTGCTAGTATTTTGTTCAGGTCTATAATTTTCTTTTTTTGTGATGTCTTTTTCTGGTTTTGGTATCAGGATGATGGTGGCTTCATAGAATGAATTTGGGAGTGTTTTTCCCTCTGCAATTTTTTGGAAGTATTTGAGAAGGATCAGTGTTAGCTCTTCTCTAAATAATTGATAGTATTCGCCTGTGAAGCCATCTGGTCCTGGACTTCTGTTTGTTGGAAGATTTTTAATTATGGTTTCAATTTCATTACTTGTCATAGGTCTGTTTATATTTTCTAATTCTTCCTGGTTCAGTCTTGGAAAATTTTACCTTTCCAAAAATTTGTCCATTTCTATGTGGTTGTCCATTTTATTAGCATATAGTTGTTTGTAGTAGTCTCTTATAATCCTTTGTATTTCTGCAGTGTCAGTTGTGATTTCTCCTTTTTCATTTCTAATTTTATTGATTTGCATCCTCTCCCTTTTTTTCTTAATGAATCTGGCTAAGGGTTTATCAATTTTGTTTATCTTCTTAAAAAAACAGCTTTTTTTTTTGACTGGTCTAAATACATAAATTTATTTTCCCCCTTACCTTCCTTTCTTTGGGAAAAGGAAACATTACAGTGTCTACTCAGAGAGGAAGGAGAACAGCAGAACAGATGAAGGGGGACTGAACTTACTGACTTTTCTACCCGCTTCTATTCTCTCTCAGCCTGTATGTTGTCCTTACAGGTGAGTGAGAGATGTTAGGATTTCAGCATGCTGCTCCTTAACTGGAATGGGGCAAGAAATGCTCCAGCTGTTTTAATCAGTGACATTTATTAACACGTTTCAAGTGGCCAAAGTGTGCAGCCAGTACAATACCCAAAGCAATTAGATCATTCCTTTTTAAGACCAAGAAACTTTCTCTTGGTTTGATCTACTCTTGGTTTGATCTACTCCAAAATACCAAATACATAGATTTTGGAATAAACTCAAATAAATTGTAATTTACTTTCACCCAAAATTACACATCCTCTACCTAAGGACAAAGTCACTGCTCCTCTAAAGATACTGAGGGGAAGGGGAGTAGCTCAAATGAGCCTGTAATTTAAAATCACAACCAGAGAAGAAACACTTCAAGTACAATGGGGACATTCCATTGAAGAGCCACATTCATCTGGAATGTTTGCTTTGAAAACAACTCTTCTGGGGAATAAAGAACCAGCTTTTAGTTTTATTGATCTTTGCTATTGTTTTATTCCTTTCTATTTCATTTATTTCTGCTCTGGTCTTTATGATTTCTTTCCTTCTACTGACTCCAGGTTTTCTTTGTTCTTCTTTCTCTAGTTGTTTTAAGTGTAGGGTTAGATTGTTTATTTGAGGTTTTTCTTGTTTCTTGAGGTGAGATTGAATTGCTGTAAACTTCCCTCTTAGAACTGCTTTTGCTGCGTCCCATAGGTTTTGGGTCGTCGTGTTTTCATTGTCATTTGTTTTTATGTATTTTTTAAATTTCTTCTTTGATTTCTTCAGTGATCTCTTGGTTATTTAGTAGCGCACTGTGTTTAGCCTCCATGTGTATAGTATATCATTTTTGCAAAGCTCAAAAATAGGCAAACTCAAATCATACAAAACTTTTTTTTAATGAAAAAGCAATAATAAACAAAATTCAGGATAGTGGCTACCTCTGGCCGAGAGAAAGGGAGGTGTGATAGGAAAGGCACACATAGCTATTCACTTTGTTATGCTTTATAACATATGTTGTATCAAGTATTAAATAAAAATTAAAATATAACACAAAGAAGTGGGCCTGGAGGGTGGGGGGGACCTGGTTTGCAACCCATACACTAAGTTGGACAGGGCTAAAGGAACAGATGAGCTGGAAGTCCCAGTTTCCAATAATAACAATAGCTAACATTTGTGTACTGGGAAGGCAAAGGTGGAAAAAGCTGCTCCCAAATAACCCCTCCACAGCCAACCAGAAATAGGAGTGAGATTCACAAGGGCGTCTAGGAATCATTCATTGGTTCAGTACACATTTACTGAGACCTACGCTACCAGGTTCTATGCACTGAGGCTCTGGAGAGGAGGTAAGATACACTCCTGACTCAAGGCAGTGTCAGTTTATTTGGGAAATTAGATGCAGGAACAGATAATTACAAGATCATGTTATATGTGCAGTGATAGAGAAATACCCAATCCAGTGGAAGTTAAGTACATTAGTGGGATGAAGGGTAGCAGGTATTATCTGAAGAATGTAAAGATGTTTCAGAAGGAGAGAAGATCATGTGATGTACAACATTTGTGGATATTAAGGAAGAAAGAAAATGAGAATATAACCAAATAACAAAAAGCATTTCAAAAATTCAGTACTCATTCATGATAAAAGCTAGGAATAGAAAGAAAATTCCTTAACTTTGTATTGGATATCTATTAAAACTTACAGCAAACATCAAACTAAACCTGAAACTAAGGAAAAAGAGGAGAAGGTCTGCTATCACTTACTCTAGATAATTGGTTACATGGGCATGCACACAAGGAGACACCTATAGGAATGTTCATTGCAACACTGTTTAATAGTGAAAAGTTATAGTCCACCTAAACATACACATATTTAAAAAGGAGAATGACTGAATAAATTGTGAATTAAAACAATGAGAAATGATTGAAGTAGACTTACTTGTATCAGTGTAGTTGCATCTCATTGCTGACCGTGAAATTTCATTTCACACTGTGCATGCAGAACAAAACCATGTATTTTTGTTTTATTTTTTATTGAGGTATAATTGATTTACAGTATTATATTAGTTTCAGGTATACAACATAGTGATTCAAAATTTTTATAGATTATATTCCATTTAAAGTTATAAAATATTGGCTGTGTTCCCTGTGCTCTACAATATATCCTTGTAGCTTATTTATTTTATACATAGTAGTTTGTGAACAATACCATATATTTTTTGTGGAAATATTTGTAAGTGTGAAAACGTGTAGAAATAATAAACAGAGTTCAAAATAATGGTTACATCTTGGGGGGGAATGAAGTGAATGCAACTAGGTAGGGATACACAAGGACCTTCAGCTGTATTTGAAATATTTTATCTTGAAAACATCTATGGCAATTTCTGATTGATAAAACTTGAGTGGTAGGCGTTTTTTTTTAGGCAAAATGGGGCATATGAGCAAAGGTGGAGAGTAAGAATAGTGGTCCTCAAAGGGTTTAATCCTCAAACCAATCCTATGAGGTAGATTAGATTAGTCCCATTTGACAGAAGAGCAGACAAAGACTTAGGTTCCATGACTTACCTAGGGTTGCGCAGCTGCAAATTGTGGAGCTGGGGTTTGAACCTAAGTGGTCTAGCTACCAAGCCCCATTCTTAGGGGAATGTAAAAGAGCAGCACATTCAATCTCAAATGAACTGAGCATGGGGATTGTTTTATTTGTGTCTTTTGTAGGAAATGATCCGACTAGATGAAGTCCCCAATCTGAGTTCCTTAGTATCCAATTTCGATCAGCAGCAGCTTGCTAATTTCTGCCGGATTCTGGCTGTCACCATTTCAGAGATGGATACAGGGAATGATGACAAGCATACGCTTCTGGCCAAAAATGCTCAGCAGAAGAAGAGCTTGAGCTTGGGGCCTTCTGCAGCTGAAATCAACCAAGGTAAAGTCTCTAAGTTGTCAGAATTTTGACATTGTAGTTCTGAGGTCCCTTCCTAAATCATCTAGCTCTTTCAGTATTTCTAGAGATTTGATCCATGTGAGGGCTCCTTGGGTCCACTTAGAGTATGTAAAATTTATATCTATGTGTCTCTTCATTATTTTGGGGGACCAAGTCCATATCTGTCAGACTTTTTAATAGGTCCAGAACCTCAAAAAAGTTAAGAACCATGATTTATCAGAATTAAAATTGCATATGTTTTCTTCCACTGAGCCTTCCTTTATCCTATATGATAAATATAGATACAGATATATGAGATAGATATATGGAATATATATAGAGAGAGGGAGAGAGAGAGAGATACAGTCATACATCAGAGATACTGGGAGTTAGGTACCACTATCTGTGACACTGCAATAAAGCACATATTGCAATGGAGTCACACAAACTTTTTGGTTTCCCAGTGCATATAAAAATTATGGTTACACTATATCGTAGTCTATTATGTGCAATAGCATTACATCTAAAAAAAGTACATACTTTAATTAAAAAATACTTCATTGCTTAAAGAGCTACCTATCATCTGAGCCTTCAGAGAGTCATAAATAATCTCTTTGCCTCCATGTTGATGGCTGCTGACTTATAAGGGTGGTGATTGCTGAAGCTTGGGTGGCTGCGGCGATGTCTTAAAATAAGACAGCAGTGAAGTCTGCCACATTCATTGACTCCTGCTTTCATGAACGATTTCTCTGTAGCAGGCAATGCTGTTTGATAGCATTTTACCCACAGTAGAACTTCCTTCAAAATTAGTCAGTCTTCTCAAACCCTGCTGCTGTTTTATCAGCTAAGTTTATATAATATTCTAAATGCTTTGTCGTTTCAACCTTTTTTTATTGAAGTATAGTTGATTTACAATGTTGTGTTAGTTTCTGCTCTCCAGCAGAGTGATTCAGTTATTTATATGTATACATTCTTTTTTATAGTCTTTTCCATTATGATTTATCACAGGATGTTGAATATAGTTCCCTGTGCTATACAGTAGGAGCTTGTTGTTTATCCATTCCATATATAATAGTTTGCAACTGCTAATCCCCAACTCCCAAACCATCCCTCTCCCACCGGCCCTCCCCCTTGACTGTTGATTGCATCAACAGTCTTCCCAGCATCTTTGCCAGGAGTAGATTCTATCTCAAGAAGCCCTTTCTTTGTTCATCCATACTCTTCATCTGTTAAAGTTTTATCATAAGATTGCATCAATTCAGTCCCATCTTCAAGCTCCACTTCTAATTCTGTTTCTCTTCCTGTTTCCACCATATCTGCAGTTACTTCCTCCACTGAAGTCTTGAACCCCTCAAAGTCATCCATGAGGGTTGGAATGAACTTTTTCCAAATTCCTGTTAATGTTGATACTTTGACCTCTTCCCATGAATCATGAATGTCCCTTATGGCATCTAGAACAGTGAATCCTTTCCAGAAGGTCCTTGTAGGGTTTTTACCCCCATCCTCCTTTCTTGTGACTTTGGGGGAGTTCTCATTTTACTAAATCATAAAATATACATTTTTAAAAACATGAATTTTATTATAACTAAATTATACCTCAAACCTAGTTTAAGCATGTGCATACACCTACACTGACAAAAGCTAACGTTTGTTAAGCTCCTGTGTGTGGCAAACATTGAGCTGCTTTACCTAGGAGTGATTTTGTTTAATCCTCCAAGCAGCCCTGTGAAATAGAGATTAGCATCCCCATTGCACAGCTTGGGAAACTGAGGGTCATACAGTTTCAGTAATGGATACCTGTGTGTGCTGAGGTACTAAGTAACTTTCATCTTTTAGTTTCCCATTTAGGGAATCTATTCTGGCAGGTTAGTTTTATCCTGTTGGTATCGATTACCTTCATGGACCTGTTTGTAAGCTGACAAGTAAAACCACCATTACCCATCATCCTTGGGGAATGAGGTATTCTAGTCAGTTGGGTTTTTAATTAGCTGAGGGTTAACCCCAAGCCTAGTTTTCATTGATTTGGGGGATTGAAAAAAGGAAGGCTTTATAAAATGTCAAGGTTCACTTTCATACCTGTGTGGCTAACCCATGAGATTATCTACATGTGATGTCAGCTTATAGCTTTTGGGATAAAACTTTATTAAATGTTGTATTTTAGCACATGTTATTGTACAGGGTCTAGTTCTTCCTGACTCTCTGACCATAATTCCTATCTCCTTGTCCCCCCACCTCACACACATTTTTCTCCAGTCAAATGCCCTAGGAAGGCCAAGGTGAACATAATTAAATTACAAGTGGATGAGAAAGATCTTAGTCCTTAGTGTTGTCTATCTTTAATTGAACTCCAGTACTGAATACTTTTATTTTTTTATTCCTTTAATTAATTTTTATTGGAGTATAGTTGATTTACAGTGTTGTGTTAGTTTCTGCTGTACAGCAAAGTGAATCAGTTATACATATATCCACTTTTTTTTTTTAAATTCTTTTCCCATAAAGGTCATTACAGAGTATTGAGTAGAGTTCCCTGTACTATACAGTAGTAGGTTCTTATTAGTTATCTATTTTATATATACTAGTGTGTATATGTCAATCCCAAGCTCCCAATTTATCCCTCCCCCCCCATCCCCTTGGTAACCATAAGTTTATTTTCTACATCTGTGACTCTGTTTTGTAAATAAGTTCACTTGTACCATTTTTTTTAGATTCCACATGTAAGCGATATCATATGATATTTGTTTTTCTCTGTCTGACTTACTTCACTCAGTATGACAATCTCTAGGTCCATCTATGTCACTGCCAGTGGCATTATTTCATTCTTTTGTGTGGCTGAGTAATACTCCACTGTATATATGTACCACATCTTCTTTATCCATCCATCCATTGATGGACATGTAGGTTGCTTCCATGTCCTAGCTGTTGTAAATAGTCCTACAATGAACATTGGGGTGCATGTGTCTTTTCAAATTATGGTTTTCTCTGAATATATGCCCAGGAGTGGGATTGCTCTATTTTTAGTTTTTTAAGGAGATAGAGGTATGTGTAATAATCAGCTTTGGCTGTCATAACAGGATAGCACAGACTGGGTGGCTTAAGCAGCAGAAATTAGTTTCTCACAGTTTTGGAGGCTAGAGGTCCAAGATTAAAGTGCCATCAGCAGTGGTTTTTTGTGAGGCCTCTCTTCCTGGCTTGCAGATGGCCACCTTCTCACCGTGTCCTCATGTGGCCTTTTCTCTGTACATGCACAAAGAGAGCTCTGGTGTCTCTTCCTCCTTTGTAAGGACACCAATTCCTGTCAGATTAGGGCCCCAGTCTTACGACCTTATATAATTACCTCCCTAAAGGCTCTGTCTCCAGATATAGTCATATTGTGGATTAAGGCTTCAACATATGAATCTCAGGGGGGACACAATTCAATCCATTTTAGTATGGAAAGCTGAAGTGTGTAGGATGTTGCCGAAAAGTTTTTGTTTTGTTTTTAATAAACTGCAGCTGTGAAACAGTTTTCTTGGCCAGCAAAATGATGTCTTATGCTATCTTCCTGGAGCTTAGATAATAAAAATGTTAGAGAACTTTTTAGGGTTCTCAGAAAGTACCAGTTATCTCTTATCTTGATTCAGATATGAACAAATGGATCCATCTGCAGGGAAAAAAATCACTCAAAATGTTAGTCAGATGTAGATGAAGCCACAGGCCTGGTAATTATCAATTTATAGGTGACACCAAGCTGATTTACACAGCATATGAGCTAATTCAGAATCATCTCAGAGAGCTGGAAAGCAGAGCCTAAACTGCAACAGGAAAATTTACAGGAGTGTTTGGGAAATACTAATGTTTTAACAAATAAGAGGAGAGAAGAGGTCTGCTTTTGCAGAAATTATTGGAAGTTTTGCGTGTTTTAGCTGTCAGCCTGTTTAACGTTAACCAACAGTGCATGTGGTAGCTACTGATAAAGCTGTGAGAAGTACAAAGACCGTACGATGCTGGGGTGCCAGTCCCCTGAGATTGTGTATAAGTTGGTGAATATAATGGGCCAGTGAGTTTTTCCTGGGGAGAGAATCCAAAACTTATCATCAGCTTTTCAAGAGATGAGTGACTAACAAAAGCTCAGGAATCTCTGGGGTGGAAGTCAGTCTCAGAACCCTGAATACTGGGTAGGTTACATCTGAAGGTCTGTGTTTAGTGTGCAGGGTGTGAAGACTAGGTCTTAGGAACTGCCCTGTGAGGAACAGTTAGAGAAACTGGAGCTATTTACCTGGAGAAACAAGGTGTGACTAAAAATCCATCTTTTTGAAATTTTTCAAAATTAGAAATTTTTAGAAATCCAAACTCTTCATTTATGTAGTTTATTTTTTGGGGAAAAATTATAGTTTTTGTTTGTTTTAAATTCACAAACTACAGAGGAACAGCAGGTGTATGGTAGAAAGTTTGTTCCCATCCCAGTGGTGACCTATTAGCAGTTTCTCATTTGTCCCTCCAGGGATACTCTGTACGTGACCAGTTACGGGGGTGGAGGAGGGAAGAAGAGAAGACTGGCTCCTTTCTGTTTGTACTGATGGTGATGTAAAATAAGCACCATTCTGCCCCAGGCTCTTTTCACTTAACTTTATCTTGCAAAGCATCCGTTCCAGTACATACAGAATTATCTGATTCCTTTTTACAACTGGATAGTATTCTAGTATATGGGTGTAGCATAATTTATTTAACCAGTCCCCTGTTGATGGAAATTTGGTTTACCTCAAGTCTTTTTTCCTACAAATAACAGCCTTATGTATGGAGTTTAATGTGCTGGATATTTGCCTTTTAAACTCTGATAGATATTCACAGATTTACCTTCCATAGAAATTACTAGTTCATCTTTCCACCCTGTATACCCTTCCCAGTACAGGGCCTTTTTCAACTTCTTGATATTTGTCAAACTTGATAAGGAAAAAAATGGTATCTCAAAAAAAAAATCTATCTCAGTATATATTTTTTAAATTGAGGTAAAAGTCACATTAAAAAAATTAACCATTTAATTCAGTGGTTTATAGTACATGTACAATTTGTGCAGCCACCATCTAGTTCCAAAACATTTTCATCACCCCAAAAGGAAACCCTGTACACATTCAGCAGTTATTCTTCATTACCCCCAACCCCTGGCAACCATCTGCTTTCTGTTGGTGGATTTATCTATTCTGGGTATTTCATATAAATGAAATTTTTAAAATGTGATCTTTTGTATCACATATCATACCTCTTTCACTTACCGTGATGTTTTTGAGGTTCATCAGTGCTGTTGCATGTCAGTATTTCATTCTTTTTTATGGCTGAATAATATTCTTTGTGTGTACATACCAGTTTGTGAAACACTGATGGACTTCTGGGTTATTTCCACCTTTTGACTGTTGTGAATAGTGCTGCTCTGAACACATGCATACACAGGTATTTGAGCCCCTGTTTTCACTTCTTTTGGGTGTGAACTTAGGATGGAATTGCTAGGTCATATGGTAATTCTATATTTAACTTTTTGAGGAAAAGTTAATTTCAGTGTAGTTGGTTTCTTTTTTTTAAGATTGTTTTGATTTGGACCATTTTTAAAGTCTTTATTGAACTTGTTACAATATTGCTTCTGTATTATGTTTTGGTTTTTTGGCCATGAGGCATGTCGGATCCCAACTCCCCGACCAGGGATTGAACCCACAGCCCCTGCATTGGAAGGCATAGTCCCAACCACTGGACCACCAGGGAGGTCCCTCAGTGTAGTTTAATTCATCTTTTTTTATTAATGCAGTCACACATTATTTTATAGTCACTCACTAATTTATAGAGAATGGAGAGGGGGCTAAGATGATTTGCCAAGCTCTGTGCTGGGACTAAATTCATATGACTTCATGTAATCCTCCTAACTACTTTGTTTTTATTTATTTTATTTTTAAAGAATTTTCTTTAATGTTGTATTCTTTTAAGGTTTACTTTAAAATTTTTTATTATGGGAAACTTCACACATGTAAAAGCAGAGACATATATATGACAGTGTAATGATCCCCATTTACCTACTACCTACCTTCAACAGTTATCAACTGATGGCCTGTCTTTTTTTTTTTTTTTTTTTTTTTTTTTTTTTTTTTTTT